TGTAACTGCCTCTGTGTCAGTCAGCGCAGTATTTCTGAGTTATTTATTTTGGTAGGAACCAAAGTTCTCTAAGGCGGAACCTTTGTTTTTATATCACCTGTTTCCGTCAGGACATACTTTAGCGTAACACTCATCCGAAAAGTCCGCTGATTTAGTACATGTTTTTCAGTGCTGATGCATCTGCAAAATAGCTCTTAGCATCAAGATAAACAATCGTAAAGAGTAATACCAAGCTACACAATTTTCCTCATGCAATGCAGCTACTAAGGTATATTTTGCTGACGTTTTTTGTGTGTGTTTTCTGTTCTTGTTTGTATTACAAACAAGAACAGAAAACACACACAAAAAACGTCAGCAAAATATACCTTAGTAGCTGCATTGCATGAGGAAAATTGTGTAGCTTGGTATTACTCTTTNTGTACAGCACTTAGGTCTGGAGGTTTTAAAGTGCTATATAATCAATCAATCAATCAATCAATCAATCAATCAATGTTTATTTATATAGCCCAATATCACAAATGTTACATTTGTCTCAGTGGTCTTCACAGTTTGTACAGAATATCAGTATGACAACACGACACCCTCTGTCCTTTGACCCTGACATCGTACAAGGAAAAACTTCCAGACAAAACCCCACAGTTTAAAGGGGAACATGGGAGAAACCTCAGGGAGAGCAACAGAGGAGGGATCCCTATCCCAGGACGGACAGACGTGCAATAGATGCCGTGTGTAAATCGAAGAGATAATACATTTTACAGCGTAGGTAGACCAAATGTTTGGAAATGCATGTGTCTGTAATAAGAAGATGAATCCACGAGGATGTCAACAATCCTGTGGGAGCCATCAGGGAAGTAGTATGGTGAGAGTCAGGCAGGACCGCAGAGACAGGTTCAGCCACGACTCAAAGTCCAGGACTCATATCCAGTACTCAGGATAGAGGATCCAGGACACACGAACACAGCAACAGGATTAGCCTCGACTCAGGATCCCGGCGTATATGTAGATACAAAAAAGAGATTTGGGGGAAGCTGGGTTAATCGGAACATGAGTACACAGGTACAGACAGCCAGAAAGACGGAGTAAGGTGCCCCCCCCGACAGTGTAAGCCTATAGCAGCTAAGCTAACGTGTCTACATACATGCACTGCCTTAGGATAGGTTGAGGGAAAAGGGTAGCAAGTAAGAAACAGAGGCGGAGAGGCACACGCAGGGAGAAAGGTCCCCACTGGAACCTTAATTGGAATTGGTGAGAGGTAAGGAGTAGGTCTGTGACTAATACTTTTACTGTCAGCACTCTTATATGAACTTTTTCTTCTGTCAACCTATTTCACATCCCCTACCTCTCCACCATTTCCAAACCCAGAGAAAGAGACTTAATTAAACATGGTTTATACACATCTACATATTCAATTAATGACACATCATTAATCTAATTTAGTTTAATCCTATGCATCAAATGTATATAATTATGGCGGCCTGTGGTCGTGGTCCAATTATGGATTTTCCTCGATTGGACGATAAAACTGATACTTGATTCCTCTCCTCTTAAATTAATTTCATCTGGTCTTTTTAAAATTCAACATACGTAGTAATCTTAAAGGTTTATAGCAGCAGTCTATTACACTTCATAACATTCATTATCATACTCAGAACTTATGCCGGGCGTATTTTAACAGCACCTGTTGGTCTTTGCATGGAGATCCACTGAGCACTAGGAGAGTCCAAGACCACCCAGTGGAAAGAAGGAGAGAGGGGGAGGAGGAGACAGTCTGGGCTTCAGGCCTGACTCCCAGAGCTCCAACTTTCCCCGTCTCCCCTCTCTTCTGCTCATTTTTCATGACCACCACACGTCTCTCCTGTCCATATTGGTAATTACTCAGTTTGACCTCACTTCAAACCTTGACCTCGTGCTGTTCCTTCCCACTGTTTTTCTTTACTTGGTGCTCTTTTGATTTAAGAAGGCATACTTTCTGATTCCCCTAGGGAAAATTCAGCTGTTTTATAATAGTTTAAATACAAACATGCATTAATGGAGAGGTGTCAGAGCAAAGGGGCTGCCAGGTGTTGTCGCCCTGGAGCAGCTGGGGGTTCTGTGTCTTGCTCAATGACACCCGGTACACCCAAAAAGTAATCTGTTACCTTTTCCGCTACCAGGACATACAACATTTTTTTTATTTACACATTTGTTCTGGTCTGTGCGGTGATTTAAAACAGTGACCATCCGGTGACATATGGTTCCCAAGCTAAGCCTCTACAGCAGGGGTCGGCAACCCCTGGCACGCGAGCCAATGCTGGCACCCGTAACCAGTGGCACACTAGGAATAAGTGGAATAAGTGGACAACTATCATATTTACAGCACCTGGGGAGCGCTGTTGGGGTTCAGTGCCTTGCTCAAGGGCATGTCGGTTTGGGGACTTTAATCAGCGACTATCAAAGCTACATAAACACTGGTAGCAACACTGTGGTGTAAAAATCCAATCCACTCCACGTATGGAGTTGGTTTGACCATTTATTCTTCTAAAAACATGCAAAAATAAAGTAAAATTGGTACCAGTTACTTAGTGCAAGTTGGATTGCAAGTGGAAGTGTAAATGTGATGTAACTAGGGCTGTCAGTCGATTGAAATATTTAATCGCTATTAATCGCATGATTGTCCATAGTTAATCGCAATTAATCGCAAATTAATCGCACATTTTTTATCTGTTCTAAATGTACCTTAGAGGAATATTTTTCAAGTTTTTAATACTCTTAACATATGAGTGGACAAATATGCTTTATGCAAATGTTTATTATCATTTGAACAATGACACATATTCTCATGAATATTAAACACAACAACCTCTGAACATTACAAATATCCGCCTCAATTCAACCTGGAACCTCTCATACTATACAAAGTGTGTCTGTCTGTCTGTGTGTCTGTGTGTGTGTGTGTGTGTGTGTGTGTGTGTGTGTGTGTGTGTGTGTGTGTGTGTGTGTGTGTGTGTGTGTGTGTGTGTGTGTGTGTGATGGATCGTTGCAGATATGTGCAACTCAAGGCATATGCTCGAACGGGAG